GTAGTGGTGGTGGCGCTGTCTCAACAACAGGAGTGCGCATTTTTCATGCTGCTGCTTGATTTTTTCCATTCTTGGTCTGCCTGTTTTTGAAGGTTTAATTTATCAATTATTTATTTATTTATTTTCTATTTGTTTATTTATTTACTTTATTCATTTATTTATATTTAAATAAAATTTAAAAAAAAAATTCTGATTAATATAGGCTCTTTAATATAAGATATAATATACTTTAATTTTTTCTAATTCATGGTCCTACCTTTTTTCGGCGCCTTGAGACGATTTTATTGTGGAAGGCGCACTACAAATATCTCACCATTACCATTACCATATCATAGCGCACAGTGTTAAACTGCCTTGTATTTCTTAAGTTCATCCTACAGTATTCCTTATTACTGTGCGCAACCAAACTGGGTACGAGTCGCGCACAGACTGAGCCTTCATCCCTCTTTCATATCCCCTCCCAATTACTTCATTAGCTACGGTACTGGTACAACCGAGACTCCCTAAGCTACCAGTTTAAGAATTCACTTTGATAGACTCTATCTCCAGACGATTTGGAAATTCTGACATGTCTCTGGGAATCAGATGGCCAACAAATTAGCAGCAAGTGGCGTGTTGGATGTCCAGTGTGGAAGTGACAAGATTTTTATAACAGCAGGGATGCCACCACGCTGGTCGGCGGTGGACGGGCCCATCAAGCACTCAACATTTCCGACCAGGATTTACAGGCCGTCAGCTAGCCTTGGGCCTGCTCGACTTAGGCCTTTTGGTTTTTAAGAGCTTTCACGATTACTGCGACCCCCCCTCCCCGCGAAATGATTGCCGACCGGCACTCCAAAAAGCTGGTGACATCCCTGTAACAGGGATTTAAAATAGTGTTAATATTATGATAAATCAACAATATCTAGCCATTTATGCATATAATTGAATATTTTACAATAAAATGAATTATATAGTAGCTTTTCGTTTTGGATGTTTTGTAGTGTGCAAAAGTGCATTAGCGCCAACATTTGAGGCATGTCGTGGCAAAATGTTTAAGTTGTCGCACAGACAAGTATTGAGTAAAGGAGCTATAAAATATGGTAGCTCAAAAAATTGCCTAAAAATACAAATTTTGTTTTCACTATAGATCAACAGTTTAATGTCTTACTAATCATGTCCCAAAGTATTAGTTCTGGAAGTGATCAACAAATCGTTTATTTAATGTTATTTGGATAGTTAATTCTATTAAACAATGTATGCACAAATAACTTTGGAAGGCAATTACTCAAAATAATGTTTATCTTGACTCTAAAAGTGCTGTAATTTCACTTTCCAATAACTTAGGCTTGAAATGTCCAATTTCAATGAATGACCCCTCACTTTAAAGATCACATACTCAGGTATCTGAAAATACTAATAACTTGAATTTCAATTTTTGCTACAACTTAGCCATTTTGCCACAACGTGCCTCATTTGTACACTATACCCTTCAAATTTTTTAGACTTTTTCAAAACTTCCACCACTCTTTAAAAAACTGGTGAGAGAGCTTTTCTGAAGGAAAATTATAGTAGGCCTATAGGCTTACAATTTTCAAAATATGGGTTGACAAAATCTTATTTTTATTAATACATTGTGATAAATGCACTTGACAAAACAAGAGAAAGTAGGCCTACCTCATGTGATGAATCCACCTTCCACAAACAGCACCAAAATTTGAAAGTACTGTATATGGTTATATTTGAATTGAATGAATTAACTAAAATATTTCCTTCCACCCCTACCTTACAGTACAGTAGTCAGTAGGCATTGGAGCCATGTACAGTATGTAGTTCACCAGAGAACAACTTCTTGTCCTACCATAATTGCAAAGAGCTTGAGTTTCCTCCATGACTATGTGGCTGTAAGTAAAATAAATACATGGAGGATAATTATTATAGCATTCCTATCCATCTTTGGTGTCCCTGGACAATTGGACATCAAGGACACCCACACAGGAAAACCTGCCTGCATTCATCCAAGCTTTTAAAGAAACCAAAAATAATCGTCAATACCAGCAGTGATCTGTTACTGTTAACAATTAAAGATGTATTGTCCCTTGCTAAATACCTAAAAAAAAAAATCTTCAAAATATTTTTTGAAATTAACTTGCCCATTTTGAAGTAACATAAAAGTTATCAACTCGAACATAGAAATTAGTGTATATTTAAAAAATGTCTACCCATCAGTTTACAGCGAAAAATGATAGAAACACTTCCAGTCACTGGAAGTGTTTTATTATTATTATTATAATTTTTTGGTTTAAAAATCAGGGTACATATTTTTTAAATTCAATAATTCAAAAAGTTAATAATTTATATGCTATTGCAATGAGCAAGTTTATTTCAAAATTATTTTTTATGATTTTTTGACATTAGCAAGGGACAATACATCTTTAATACATACTGAATGAAACAAAAATTGTGTATAAGGCCTAAAAAAATTGTTTCCTGTCACTCTCAGGTCATAAAAAAAAAGTTGTTTTTTTTTTTCACCAGATCTGTATACATGTTTTTAGAAGACGAAGGGTAGGTTGGAAACAGGGGTTTAGCCAGAAAAACGAAATAGGTACATGTGGGTTAAAACACTAAACCAGAACCCTGCGGGTGCGTACGTTACTTTGTACGTAAAAAATCAATGTACAAAAAGGGTTTAGTTCCGCATTCTCAATTTTCGCGCCCCCCCTCCTCAAGACCAGCCTACACCACAGATTACATGCCTGCATCAAACCAATGTTTGTCACCAAAGTTGTTAGGAGTGCAATATGGCAAAATAAAGTGATACTATTATGAGGTGTTTTTTAACTGCGACAGAACACTCTACCCTGTGTATTGATACAACACTGAATTTAGGGCTTCAATTCAAGGCTAAAATATTGTATCTAAATGTTTTAACAAACTCTACACATCATACATATGGTTGGATATCAACCCAATTTGATTAGAGTTCAGCCATATATTCCCATCGCTGCCTCTCCTTGTGTTTCAGCTAGAGGGCTGAAACACAAGTTAGCGCACCGTCTTTCGGATGAGATGTTTAAGCCGTTGGTCCCGTGTGCATTTATAGCCCATGTGCACGTTAAAGAACGCAGCACAGTCTTCTGAAAAGAGTAGGGGATTGTTTCCCGGTGTACTGTCCAATCACCACCAGAAGGACCCCACTGGAAATAAGTCTTCTAGACTTTCATGGGCTATCCTTGGTGTTTACACCAAATAAATCCAACCCAACCCATGGTCTATCGCCATGGTTCAGCTATCTATGGAGATCGGTGACATTTTAAATGCACATTTTACTTTTAGCACTCTACCTTACATTAAAACATCGAAACTGAACTGAACTTTAGAGGGTTAGTAATAAAATTCTAACTTCAACTGGGTGCTAATGCACTTTAGTACTGCACCCTAACCTTAACAATAACATAGCAATACTGCAGCTGAGGTTAAGGAGAGGGGGTCCTGTATTATAGATAGGCCTACAAGATTCTGTTGTTCACGTGCCCAGGGACTTTCAAAACAAGCTGCATGGTGCAAAGCATGGGATGGCCCATCATTATGCAGCATGGCACATCACTTGTTTGTAGTCTGACCTAAATAATTATGCGTTTGCGTTTGATACCAAGGATTACTAACATCTGTAATGAAATACATGATATTAAAGTCGAATGTTGGAACACAATTAATTACCGTATTGACTGTGACAAGCATTAAATGAGACCGCCTAATCTAAACGTCAACTTACTCCCTCTCAGCCCAATCCCACAAAATTCATGAATAAACAACAATTCCTCCGTCACAACACATCGTTACATGCTTCATCACACACCGCGTGTGCAGTGTAATGATGGAGAGAGGAGTTAGTTTTCAGATTTGAAAAAGAACCGAAGGTTTTATTATAGAGGGCGGCTATTATGTTTGTTATCTTTTTTGTTGACACCCCCAGCAGAAACTCCTCTCAAAAATCCGACGTTTTACCATGGCCTATTAATAGGTCCATGGTTTTACTATTAAAAAAAAAAATCAATTACTACTTCTATTTGTAACTCGCCATAAAAGTTAATCTGTAATCAGGGAGATGTAAAAAATAGGCCTATAATAATAATAATAATAATAATAATAATTTATTCGACATTCACTTTTATAACAGTGGCAACACACAAGTGGTGCAGTCAATCTTAAACTATGAAAAAAAAAATAATAATAATAAGTGAACAAATTGCTCTTCTCTTGTTAAAGAAATATAATCAATTTAGACAAGGCTTAACAAAAGAATCTACGAAAACTAAACAAAGGATTAAACAAAAACAGATAGGCCTATTAAATACAGTAGAAAAAAAATTGCTTGTGTTAAAGAAAGCACAATCAATTTACACAAAGCTTAACAAAAGTATCAATGAAAACAAAATTAGAATTAAACAAAAACAAAAGGCTTAACACTGAATTATTAGGCAGTTCTGGCCCTAATTTTAGTTAGGATCAGGATCGCTCTGCTATTCGAATAACTCTCACGTTTGATGGGGTAAACACATTTTAAATACATTAATTTCTATGTTCAAATTGATCTTTTTTATGTAACTTCGAAACGGCCAAGTTATTTTTTTTTTTTTGTTGTATTTTGCAAGGAAATACACCTTTAATGTCAGGCTCCGGAGGAAAAACATTTTTTGATATGTTGTAGAACTGATTTTTCTAAGACAGAAAAAAGTTGTTTGACGAAAAACTGGGGAACGGTGAATGAGATACAGATTTTTTAATATTTAAAAATTGGGGGAAAAAGGGGCGTAACTGCCCATTTTTACACCTTATTCCCCCAGTTTTTAAATATTAAAAAATCTGTATTTCATTCACCGTTCCCCAGTTTTTCGTAAAGCAACTTTTTTCTGTCTTAGAAAAATCAGTTCTACAACATATAAAAAAATGTTTTTCCTCCGGATAGCATTTTTGGGTGGCATTCTAGGTGGCGCTTTTCACAAATAATATAAAAACAGACAAGATTCTCTTCTCCTCGTGTGTCGTGTGTGGCCTTGAAAAGTTTTGATTGAAAATGTCGGCTGCGGCGGGAGATTGGTGTTTGATTGAAAGTGATCCAGGAGTATTTACCGAGTTGATTAAAGGATTCGGTAGGTTGTAATTCAATAAATGCATGATCTTTGTAAAAAATAAGGCTTGGGACCAAGCCTAAGAATTGCTATGCCTAGCCTAGCCTAGAGAGGCCTAGAGCCTAGCCTTCCTAGTAGTGGTCTAGGCCCGCCTAGGCCTACGCCAAGTTAGGTAGGCCCCTACTACTAGGCTAGCCTAGTCTTGCCCTAGCCGAGCTAGCCTAGGCTTAGGCAAAGATATAGATCCAGTGTGCATGTTTACATCGTTATATCAACCGGGATCATATCAACCATCATGTGTGTGATGTGTTGACCCTCCTCCTGTCCTGGTGGGCTACTGAGCGCTGCCGCTGGCTAGGCCTAACCAGTAGCCAAATCAACCCGTCCGGGGCCGTACCCACGTAAACCCGCATTTTGAAGGAATAATTTAATGTTTGCGGTAGGCCTACACGACGTTATACTGTAAATTTTTTTAATTCTCAAAAATCAGCTGAGGAAAGTTGCTAAGAAAATCGACCTAGGTCTAGTAGGTGTGCAGAATCATAATTGCTGCATATTTTTTATTATATTAAGATTCATTCAAAGCCTAATTTTTGGCAAAATATGCGTGAAAATCGGCCCTTATTTTTTCGAAATGCTCGGACTGATTTCCAGGTCAAATTTTTGCACGGAGGATATATTCCCCACCAGGCCTTACTGTACAGTCTGGCACCATGTAGATCAGGCCCAGGTGGACAGAAAAACCGGTCGGAGGGCCAAAGTGAATTTCTGATTTAACACTGAGGGGCCACACACAAACCTCCAAGCACTGCTTTTACACCACTTTATTCCCAGTTTTAATATTACTTTTTACATATGATCGGTGTCAGGCCGTAAAATACAAGGTGTTTTCCAGCCAATGTTGCTTGGCAGGCCGCACACACAGGGTTTTTATTTCATATTTGCGGGCCGCAAAAAAATTGCTTTCAGGCATGCATGTGATGTAGATAGTTCTGAAAAAGATTGTTGTTTGTTGAGATCAGAATGTTTCGGCATTTGGATTGATTTGCTGTGTGATTAAGATTAATTACAGTACCTATTATTAGGGTAACCTGCCCCCTACCCAATTATTATCAATTATTTGTTGTTTTTCTATTCAACAGGAACTACTGGTGTGCAGGTAGAAGAAATATGGAGTTTAGATGAAACAAGCTTTGCAAATCTTAAGTAAATATACCTACATTAAATCCAAAGGCAAAATATAATTATTTTTTTTTTTTTTAGTGGCATAGGGCTACCCAGGATTTTGAAAAGGGGGTGCTGAGTTGTATTAAATTCTAGTTAGTGCTTTATTAATAAATGCACATAGTTACACCAGTAAGAACAAAATACATTTAACAAAACTTTTTTTCAGATAATGTTAATTTATAGACTTTCTTTATACTCTTTGTGTCCTATTCATATTTATATACATATTATTTTAATTGGTATTTAGAGGATTTTGGGCAATTTTTTTTCTTTTTTTCTTTTTTTTTTACTTTTGACTTTCCAAAGGGTGGGCGTGGCAGCCACCCCCGCCCCTAAGTCCACCCCTGATTGCAGTGTAGCTACCCCAGGTTCCTATCGCCCAGCCCAAATTTCCCAGTTACCAGTTGTTTAGGGGTATAAGCACACTATTTCTCTTTGTTTAACAGACCTGTACATGGATTGATCTTTCTCTTCAAATGGAAACAAGGAATTGAAGGATCCGGGAGTGTTGTTCTAGACGACAGGCTCAACACTATCTTTTTTGCCAAGCAGGTAATGATACTCAGTGATCGTATATAAAGATAAGGGTAAAGGTAGCCTTGTATTCATTAATGGCAGTAGGGGAATCAGCTGTTAGGAGCCCATCGTACTAGGCCTCAGCATTGTGTGGTAGGATAACCAGTTCCTTTCCATGCTGCCTTCTTTAACCTCTGCAGTATATTTTAACAAAAGTGCCCAACTATACTCCTGGGTATAGAAAGACAGACATAAGTAAAGTGCCTTGTCCAGGGAAACAGGTGACAGGCACTGCAGTGGTTTTAAACCCCCAACCTTGAGGTTGAGAAATGCAACTGCTGCGAAAATCGCTCCCACAATATAAGCAATCAATTTAATATGAAAATGTATTTACTATAAGTAAGTATTAAAGTCAGTTGTAAATGTAATCATTGTTGCTAGTGATATACTGTATTTGGTGATAGTAAAAGTTATTATTCTTAGTACACTTTGTCTGGTTTTTTCCCCCATTTTATGTCTACAGTATTTACCACTTTATCGATTTACTATGTTAATTTTACACTACACTACATTGCTTATTGAGTTTTATTGTATCGCTTCTTTTATTTATTTTTTATTCTTATTTTTATACTCATTTCGGCAAAATACAATAGGACAAAAGAACAGGCAGAAAGATTTAAATGCAGAAGAGAAGCAAAAAGCACAAAAATGCTGTCACCAGTAAGGTGTGCTTTTCCAGAGATCTTTGTTAATTATATGCAACATCAAAATATATTTTTATTTTACCTACTTTTTAAAGGACACAGAATGGAAAAAAAATGTAGAAAATTTTCTTTCTTTACTTACTGTATATTTCAAGAAGTCATTTGGCAATGAAGCTGATTTTCAGGGCATTCCTCGTCACAACAAACAAGTTACAATAGAAATGACTCCGAAATTTAATGATACATTTGTATTACATTTAATTATTTTAGGTGATTAACAATGCCTGTGCAACTCAAGCCATCTTAAGCATCTTGCTTAACTGTAAGCACAAAGATTTCAACCTAGGAAGCACACTAACTGATTTCAAGGAATTCTCACAAACATTTGATCCCACTGTAAGTTATTTATGAATATAGTACCAACATTATTGTAATTACAATTTTATTATAATTATATTATCATGTGTAATACTGATAATTATTATTATTATTAGTGTCATGGTTCTGATTTTTAGGCTTTAGGAACTTTATTAGGTCTTCAGGAACTAAACTGAAAAAAAATTGGTCATATAAAGTTAGAAATATATAATCATGATTGCCACTGTGCTGATGAATGTCATAAGAAACTACAAGACTTCATAAAAACCTAAACTTTTCTTACTTTTCTTAATCTTCATAATATCAAAGTGGATGCACTTTATGTGAACTCACACGTAGTGGGTACACTATATAGTGACGATGGCAACTTCCATCATAACTAGTAGAGTGACGTTTTTACAGAGCTTAGTTAGCTCTCTTGTTCTATTTATACTCTTTGTGTCCTATTCATAACCTTTCTGTACATATTATTTTAATTGGTATTTAGAGAATTTTAGCCTGCAGAAGATGATTGGGCTTCTGGTGGTATCAACCCAGGCAAGTACTATCTTGCAATTCAACATTTAAACATATTTTTCCTTGTAGCCTTTGACATGTTTTTTCTCTTAGATGAAAGGTCTGAGTATCAGTAATTCAGAAACCATTAAAGAAGTACACAACAGTTTTTCAAGGTTTGTGATGTTTTTATTTTCTATTCCCTGCAAGTCAATAAAATACTTTTTAATGAAAACCAAAATGCAAATTATTTTTTAAGCATAAACATAAAGAGATTAACAAAATGTATTTCACAGTGACAGCAACCTGGATTTCCTGATCAGGAGTTCCATAGTCCCTGATGAGATGTCAAAGGTCTTTAAAAAAAAGAGGTCTGAAATCCCCACCAGGGAGTGCACACCATTCTCAACCTACTACCTTGTTTCAACAAATTTTAAGATGCTCAGAAATGGCACTTTAAAAATGCAGTTTTTACCTTAATGATGAACTTGACCTCATGAACACTTATGTAATTATCTCCTACTAGGCAACAGATGTTTGAATTTGACAAGAGCATGTCGAAAGATGCGGATGCCTATCATTTTGTTGGCTTCATGCCAATTGATGGTAGACTCTATGAACTTGATGGATTGAAAGATGGTCCTGTAGACTTGGGTAGGACAAGTTATACATTAACATGATTAAACAGCAACGGCCAACTAAATTGCTTGTAGCTCTTCTGTTTTGTTTTACTTGGGTCTTAAGTATCAATCTTGCTAATGTAGGTGTATACATAATGTATCCGGTATGATAACCTTGGCACATTTATATTTGTAATTATTATTATAATGTACCATTAAATATAGATTATAAGCTATGTAGAAGGGGAAAAAATGACTATTTTTTTTTTTTTTTTTTTAGGAAAATGTGACCAAGATGATTGGTTGAAAACAGCAAAGCCAGCCATTGAAGAAAGAATTAGCAAGTAAGGTCAAAACCAAAACAAATATTTATTTAGTATTTTTTTTATATAAATTTGTTGTTATTGTGGAGTGGAGTTGACAAGCTCTGTGGTTAAGATACTTGCCTTCTAATCCCAGGCTCCTGGGTTTAAGTTCCTGTCACAGCAGGTATTTTTCTCATGACCAAAATCAACTCCACTCCCTAAAGCCTGGTTCACGTCGAACTTTATCTAGATATACCCGTCTTGAAACATGATACGATAATCCCCTAATTGCGTTAGATGCCAAGTTAGAGCCAGATAAACAGCCAGCCAGTTTCAGGGCAGGCCGTCGACGTCACACAGTGGAAAGGCTTGTTTAATAAAACATCTACTGTATTTTACGAACCTCTAGTACCAATTGGTATTCGTTCAAAAAAATTTGTAAACTACTGTAGAGAAAGTGTGAGTTTCCACTACCTAACCTACCCGACCATTGCGAACCAACGACAGTGCAGCAGCGTGTTCTATCGCAATCTAAGTACTGTAGTAGATTCTCTAGGCCCCAGCTAAATTTACCTTCGATAAAAAACGAATTATTTTAATCGCTAGCTAGCATTCTTCCATTTAACAAAATATTGTTTTAATTTTTATTAAATGTCTGTATACTTTATGGACCTTTCTGTCCTGTTTTGTAGTGTTTAGATCGCTCAATTGTGTTGTTTACATGCACTTCGCGAAAATCTAGCTTCGCGGTGTCAAATAAGTTGCTGACTTAAACACACTTTTTTATTTCGCCATCGTAAACATGCGCTCATTTTAACGACTGGCGTTGGTGGTAGTTCGTTGAAACCGAATTAATAGCGACTATTATAGCAGAAATGGAAAAGATTGAATTGTCAATAAATAAATACAACAAATCTGATTTTATTATTAAGAAAAATATACATTATCACTTTGAAAAATGTACTCAATCAGACTTTTTAACGTTATTACTTGGTCGTGATGCAAAGGGCAAAGGTCATTGGTAATTTTGACTATTCGTAAAACGGACGTTTGCTTGGTTTTTACCCATAATATAACAAATATTTTCTGAAAACCAGACTAATGAGACTACTTCGATGCTGTTGTTAGCATTGTTGGAGTACGTTGTTGCCAGCCAGAAGATATGGTGGTACAATACAACAACGCTGGCTTAAATGCCTACGTTACGTAATCGTGTCCTTGTAATCATAGCCGACTTTACCGTTAAGCAAGTTAATTTACCGTTATTCTAGTAAAGTTAAGTCACTTAACTTAAGTCACTTAAGCCTTTTATCTAGCTATAATTGAGTGGTTCACGTCAAACTTTTAACTAGTTAAGTGGATGTATATCTAGATAAAAGTTTGACTTGAACCAGGCTCTAAGCCTCATAAAGAGACTTGGTTTATAAAGCACCATTCCGTCCTGTAAGTGGTGAGTGTACTTGCTGTTGAATGTAAAAGAAGTAAAAGAAATTCAATAAAATCCATCTTGTTTTTGAACTGTGATCTTTCAGGTATAATGCAGATGAAATTCATTTCAATTTAATGGCTATAGTGTCAGACCGAAAAATGGTTTATACAAGGGAACTGAATAAGTTGACAGAAAAGGTGCAGGAAATACAAGACAAGGTGAGTGTATCGTGGTGGGATTACATCCTATCACTATCTGATTGGATTTACTTTGTGTTACTTCCTGTGATGAGGCTTACTTGTTGTTACAACCTGTGTTGAGTCGATTTTCCTAGCTGTTAGGGCAGGGGTGCCACAGCCTACAGCCATAATATCGGCACTGGTTCTAGTGGCATTCCCATTGTTCTGGTGGTAGAACAAGTCTTTTTGGATAAGGGCTATAAAACTTAGGCAAGTGTACACATTTTATATCTTGTACCCAGTAAATCATTCCAGACGAGTAGGAGATTCCCCTTGGTTCTGGTCCAGTACGCCCCTGCTGGAAGAAGAGAGCTGCTGGTTTTTAATAAATAGGCAGTAACACTAAGTGACCCTCAGTTTTGAAGACTGTCACACATTAAGTGTCATTAGCATCTTAACACTCAACCCTCCAAACACGGATATCTCCGTGTTCGGTAACGCAACGCTTGACCGCCAAACACGGAGATCTCCATGTTTCATGTGTTTTTACGGAATCCGATAGATGGGCTAATTACTGACATGTACTAACAATTTGAACACTATATTCAGTCTTGACCATAAGTATATCACTATTTGTGTGATTACATTAGCGTAGAGCGGTATTGATTTACTTTCACGAAATCGTGATTTTCTCAGCTTCGTTGTGCGAAATTGCGTAAATCTCCAAAAGTGAGTCATTTTCATTTTACTGTTACGGGTCACAGATTAGAATAAAGTGTTTGGTACCATTGTAAAGCTAAAATGTTTGTAATTCTTGTAGTATTCACTACATGTCAATCTGATCACATACAAACTCTCAACAAGCTTCAGAAAAGTGTTAGAATTTGCTAAAATGTCTGGCAGTGGCTGATAATATTTTTTAAAACCCAGGGCGGTCAGAGTGTTAATTGGAACTTAATAAATAGAATATGGTGTAGAAAAATAGCAAAATAATTTATATATTTTTTTACATATAGTCTGAAGCTATGGAAACAGAAGATTCAGAACAAACACTAAATGACTTACAAGCAGAAATCAGTAGACTTCAGGACAAAATTGAAGAAGAGAATAAAAAAATGCAACGTTATAAAGTAAGCCTTTTTTAAGTTTGTAATTTATTGTATTATGCCTATTCAGCCCATGAAATTAGGAAAAAATTAGGTCGGCAAAAATTTGCCAACCTTAAATTCTCCGATTCTCCGAGCAATTTTTTACTACCTAGGCCTAGGCCTATATAGTATAAACTATGATTTTTCCAAACGCTCAACCTTACATCGTCATCTACAGATTGTGATTTTGTTAATTTCTCTATTAAATCAATATATTGCTGGTGAAAGAATGATCATACTGTACTTTTAATAGTGTAGTGTAATACATCGCCGAATAAATTTTGTTTCAGCATTCGTTTTATCGTTATCTTTGGCATGGGAAATATCACTTCCGTAAAAGCTACGATCGTATCATAACAGGCTGCTGCATGCCCAGAATGATCTATCAGGGATTTTCCACACATGTACAGTGTTATGTACTTCTCAGTAGTGAAGTCACGATGCAATCGTGATTACGTTTAAACGCACGGTAGAATCAGGTCTTCAATATGTTGAATTTTGTTGTTTTTAGATAATAAAAAACATTTTAAATATGATAATTACTGTAAAATGTAGACAAATAATAGATTTAGATATGCGTCCCACTTGGCTTCAATTGGGCAATGTTGCAGGCCTTGGCTGGCTAGCGGCTGGCTAGCGTCATTCCCGGTACCTTGGCCTAGCCTACGAAACGACTAGGCGAGAAAGACAAGACGATTGTATACAAATTGTACGTACTGCATGCTTATTAGAAAGTTATTGTAAAAACAAATCTGTTTTATTAACTACCACTTTCCTTGGTTTGACGACGTACATGAAATTTAGTGTCTGCTATAGCCTGTTTCAGTCAAAGTTTTTGACTTTCGAAGCAGTTTTTGAAAGTCCAGGCCTAGGTTGGCAAAAAATTGCCGTCCTGCAATTCTGGCTCGGCAATATGGGAGGCAATTGCCGATTACCGACGTGAAATTCGTGGGTTGGCCTATTGATTTTTTCCAGACATAAAATAGATTGACCGCAGCAGAATAAGTTATCTACAATGCCGTACTTGTGATGCGATAGTTTAAACTTTTTGCATTTTGGTTGAGTTTCATATGAACAGTCAACATATCTTATTTTCAGAAAAAAAATCTTGAATACATGAAGCATTAATGCTATGATAATTTTTTGAAGAAAATCATATTGTCCTTATTGCACCTTCAGCCAGAATCTCTCCCATTACCATTCAGTTGCTGTACCAACTGATCTATGAGGCCAAGCTTGTATACTCCATTGGAATTTCCCAGGGTACATTTTTTTTTGTTCATACATAATTAATCATAGATAAATCATATGTTAATTTTGGTTTGGAGAAACATCTCCATTATTCATGATTATCTTTACTTACAGGTTGAAAATATAAGGAGGAAGCATAATTATTTACCACTTATCATGGAGATGCTTCGGTTGTTGGCCAAGAATAATCAGCTTGTGCCACTTGTTCAGAAGGTAAATTTTAGAGTGCTAGACACAAATAGCTGTTGACTATGTTACTCAGAGAACCCCTGAATTCTTCATTTTTATGTTCCAAAATTTATTATTCAGATGCAAGTCATCTTTTACACTGAATTAACATATTTAAAAAATGAAATTTTGTAAACATATTTATATAGAGGTGATAATTTTGTCCTCTACAAAAAAATACTTGGTTTATCTCAACTGATAAGTATGGAAAATTAATAGTGAACTCAAGAAATGCAATTTGCCTAATGGACTGATTACACTGGAACTCCAGGAAGTGATCATGGAAGCTGAGACCTGCAAAATCATGCTAGTAACTCCTTGCTAATATCAAGTTCATTTTTTGATAAGGACCATATTTAAGCACATTGTTAGCTCATATTACTTTCAAAAATAAATTTGAACTGGTTAGTGGAGTTGGCAACAGCTTGGTCATGCAAAAAATTCCATAAAATACTAATTCTTCTAGAAAACACAGTAGGCAGCTTAACTTCTTTACAGCAATGGTTAAAACACATGTTCCAAATCCATCATCTGTATCAAAAACCTATCAACTCTTACACAATGTTTCTCTTTTTTCTTTTTTTTTTTTTGCCCTTTTTTACCATTTGAGATCATTTTATACACTCTAGCATGAACTTTTTTCTAAAATTAAACTATGGAGTTAATTTATGTGTACCTAATGTGTGCACATATTTTGTATACTATTGTGTATACATGTATGTGTATGTATTGATATATACAGTAGTTCTATGGAATATATGTCTAACTGGTGTATGTATTTAATCTTTTATTTTCACCACATAAGCTGCAAGTAAGCTTTGATGTTAGATGATATCTTAAGATTAAAAATGTATCCTCTGCCAAGGACATTATGTATTCACATGTGTCTGTTAGCAAGATTACACAAAAACTAATAAATAGTTCATCATAAAATTTAGTGGAGAATGGTAATGGTAAATAGTATTATTAATCCAAGAAATTCAATATTTGGAAGAAAGGTCAAACAAAGTCACACAAATTTAATTTTTTACACCCAAGCATGAACAAAAATAATGGAATCTCCCCTCGTATTCAGGTATCACTCAAGAAAACAATGGGGCTGAATACAACAGTCAATGCCTTTATTTTCTTGAGGGTATGGTGCAGCACTCAAGCAAATAATGTGCCTAAATACGATGGGCGATTCCATTATTACTCAAGGGTATGCTGCAGCTTTGCACATCATATACATCCTGCCTATTGGTGGTACTGTGTTAAGTATGCAATCTATGGAGTGACTGCTCTTGTTTGGTGTTTTTTTGTCATTTAAGTATTTTCTTTATCTATATTTATTATTTATTTATGTGTAGGCTAAAGAGAAGGCAGCTCTGAAAGAAGAGGCTAAGAAAAAGGAAAGTGCCAAGTGAGAGCAGCAGATATCTATTTCCATGTCAGCTAAACAGCTAAGTACAACAGTTTTCTGTTATAATGAAAGAAAAAGAGCACAAACAAAATACTGTTGTTATGATACAAGAACATGTTGAGCAGAAATTTTCCAATTAAACCTTGGTCAATGTCAGCCTTTTACAAAATGTATTCAGTAACATGGTCTAATACCCATTTCACACTAGCAGAAAATATTACAACTTTTAACAATATTAACAAGTTGTAACAAGTTTGATATTCCGAGATTTTTGGTTCGTTTCACACATGCACTTTCAAACCATGAGAAATCTTGGGAAAACTTGGAAGAATAATGACTAGGCCTAGTAGTAGGCTAGTTGTAGGTTGTCCGAATTACAGATCAACTACTAAACTAGGCCTGGTACCGAATTAACAAGATTATAATTATTCCATGGTCCTTAGCCTTCGGAGAGTAAAACGAATTCAACTCCTAGCTCGCTTGCTGTAGTCGAGCTGGCGAGAAAGATAGGCCTAGGCTAGCTAGGCGCAGTCGGGCCGCTGGCCGGTAGCTCACCATTGTTGTTAGAGGCAATCAGTGCAACAAGCATCATAATGATTCGTTGTCGGCGTATTTTACGAAGCCTCATGATTGTTTCTACATGTGAAATTTAGCGAGATTTCTTTTGATTTTAGGTCTAGGCCTATTAACAAATGGTAGTAAATGTTGATACGTTTTCCATCGCTGCCGCCATTCATTCGAACTAAAAAAAAAAAAACACAGCCCGCAAAAAGGTCAAAATATGGACGTGATGCATGCGCAACAACAACTCGGAAAATTTCAGGAAAAAAACAGGCCTGGCGATGGTCTGTTTTTGTTCCGAGATAGCTCAGGGGACCCCTGTGAAATCTCGGAAAGTTTTACAAGGATTTGCTTTCATACTCATCCAAACCTGGTTACAACTTGTTACAAGTTGTTAATATTTGCAAAATAGCATCAGTGTGAAATGGGTATAAGTGGTGCTATAGTTTGTGAACCTATAATTGGGTTCTTACTTAGTCAGTCAATTCCTTGTAGTATAAGCCAGTATTTTGTCGTTTGAACATGATGTCAGTTAAGAATTTATTTATCTGTAAGAAATGTGTTTGTGTTGAACATTTTCAACCAGAACTTCAAATTTGTTGTTTAGCGACTCATTGTCAGCGTTAATTGCTCTGTAAAATGTATGACATTTCTTCTATTTTTTAATCAATACTGGTGTGCTAAATTATCTTAAATTAGTTATAAAATATCATATATTTCTGTTAATTGAATGGTTCAATAGTGAATGGTTGATTTATAAAATAATAAATGTAAAGTAATCAATGCTTTATAAATATATGATCAAAACTAATAACATATAAAATTGATACCATATGTTATAAATAAATGGTCAATAACTAATACGTACTTGATAAAGTAATCAATACATTAACTGTGGATTAAATCCTGATACCAATAAACTATCAATACTGTACAAGATCAATAACTATTTAGTGAATAATTTGAGGTCCATGCTGATGACACAGTGTTGATAGCAGAAAGTGAAGGCACTCATATTCTGGATATAATAAGAATACCAAATAAAAATTATCATTGAGGAAAGACTAGTAATGACTGTCAGTAAATTGAAGTAAATACAAGGTGTAAATTTAATTATTATTGATGGAAAACAAACTGAACATGTGAAAAAGATGGTTTATGAAGGATCATAGAGGATGGGGGTGGGGGAGAATGAAGAAAAAATAAGGAAGAGGAAAATTATTGGTAGAGGAGGTGGCAGCAATTCTATGTATGTAGCAGTAAAAAGAACACTCATCACTATTAACATGTACGATGCTCCAGGTTCGTCTTTCTTTCGGCCATTATTCAGCATAGAAATAGGAATGTAAGAAAGCCCCTTAGTATTCTACAAGATGGATGGAATTTAGATGATAAAATCTTGGTTTTCATGTACTTGTAAGATTTGGACACACTAGATG